ACTAACATTAGAATCTTACTAATATACTAATACATATTATAAATGCGTAAGTTTGGATGTCTGGATGTTTGTTACTCTTTCACGCAAAAACTACTGAACATGAAACTTTACAGTATTATTGTTTATAACCCAGAATAACATAGGCAATAATTTATGACGACCTGTGACAAACTAAATTTCACGCGGATGAAGCCGCGGGCAAAAGCTAGTAATTAATAACGGGATTGCTACTATACTATTGCTATGGCACGGGAGGGGTGACTGCTGACCATATTTTAACAGAGCATAAAACTATAAAGGACGAAGCACACTTATCAACCTGGAAATGGTAACCGTATCAACTCGAGGCTGTGAGTATTTTTAGCATGAAACTCCGTACTGCAAGACTGTAACGCGCACTTATCCGCACCGTAACGTAAACGCCTCGCCTCACGGTTTACAGCGCGGTAAAAGGCGATGGAGATACGGCGTTGAACCCTTTCTGGGTTGATAAGTGTGTAATTACTTTTAGAGGGATTGAAACATACCCGCCCAAACACGACGCTGTGTAAGTCGAATTGCGGCAGCGGCTTGAACGTGATGTTGAAGATACCGCACATCTCGTCGTCGCGCGTCACCCGCATCGACAGGAGCCCTGTAAAAATACAGGGTGGAAACGATAAGTGATCTCACTCGATCGATATTTCTAAACTATACAAGATATCGAAAAATTGGTCACTGATCCTGAAAGTGCTTCACAAGCTAAAAAAACAAATGGTATCAATAAGTTACAAAAAACTAGATCTATCCGAAATTCAATTTTTCCAGCTGCTGCTACACGGGCGTTGTCGTTGCCGTTGCGGTGCGTCACCGCAGCGGCGTTTGCGTTTAAAGAAGAACGGTCACGCCCCATACAAAAAAAACCCAGACCCGACAGAAACGAGACATACCTCAGTTTTTTTGTAATGTCTTAATTAGTTAAATTATATATTTTTTATATTCGAAATCTATGTATAACACCAAAATATTACCCTTTGTTTTTGTTTAGGCGTTATACAAAAACTAATACAAAATGCTTATTTATCACCAAAATTGGTAAATGTATGTACCTAAATGTCTATTACAGCTGCTATGGAATGTATCTAGGTGACCTGGAGATACAACCGGATTATACAGGGTGGTTATACATATGGAACGATAAGTGATCTCACTCGATTATTTCTAAACTATACAAGATATCGAAAAACTAGTTACTGATTCTGAAAGTGCTTCACGAGCTCTTTCAAATGGTACCAATAATAGGGTATAGATTATGGAAGCTGGTAACATTGAATTTTTGGATTTTGTAACTTATTATTTTTTTCACCCTGTATAATCCGGCTGTATCTCCAGGTTACTTAGATACATTCCATAGCAGCTGTAATAGACATTTACGTACATACATTTACCAATTTTGGTGATAAATAGGCATTTTGTATTAGTTTTTGTATAACGCCTAAACAAAAACAAAGGGTAATATTTTGGTGTTATACATAGATTTCGAATATAAAAAATATATAATTTAACTAATTAAGACATGACAAAAAAACTGAGGTATGTCTCGTTTCTGTCGGGCCTGGGTCACAGATGACCGTTCTTCTTTTATCGATCAATCCCTAGGCAGAGCGAAAGAGAGACCCAGCAATAAGGTGGAACTAACCAGGCATAACCGTGCTTACTATGGGCCTCATAAGAAGGCTCAAGGTCACCCAAAGGGCGCCGGGGCGTGCTATTCTCGGAGTCTCCCTGCGTGATCGAATCAGAAATGAGGAGATCCGCAGGAGAACCAAAGTGACCGACATAGCCCGCAGAATTGCTAAAATCAAGTAGCAGTGGGCGGGGCACATAGCTCGTAGAGATGATAGCGGTTGGGGCAGAAAAGTTCTCGAGTGGCGACCACGGGCCGTATACGACCGTATACCTACACGTAGTGTGGGCAGGCTCCCCACTAGGTGGCCCGACGACCTGGTGAAGGTCGCGGAAGCTGGATGCGGGCAGCATAGTACCGGTCGTTGTGCAAATCCTTGGGGGAGGCCTTAGTTCAGCAGTGGACGTCCTATGGCTGAAATCGACTCAATCACCTGGAAAATGAAGCTGGGTGAAGTGGTTCTGAGGTGGTGAGATTGTGAAATGACACTAAAAATTTAACTTTCTTCACCCAGGTGATACCCAGATGAAAAAAAAAGTGGAATAATTGAGGTCATATACGCATCATGTGTTAAACCATGTTAAAATGTATGAAGTGTATGTGACTTTGTTGGTGTACCTTATAAATATATAAATAATCAGCTCTGACCAGGCATAGAATGCGGGAAGTGATAGTTCTCAGCGCCGATGGGCGCGCGCCGTCCGCGCTGCGCGTAGCACCCGAACCCGTTGTCGTAGATTACGTCGCCGCCGCTCCAGTACAGGCCTGGCACCTTTCTGGGCAGGGAAAAGGAAACCACGAAATTTATACAGGGTGTCCCAAAAATAATGGATAAAGGACGTAGCTTTATCAACCCGGAACTAGGGATCGGAACCGTATACCCTGTAAACTCTTGAAAAGGAGGCTGACAATCATCATCATCATCATTTCAGCCATAGGATGTCCACTGCTGAACATAGGCCCCCCCAATGCTTTCCATGTTGATCGATTGGTAGCGGCTTGCGTCCAGCGCTTCCCTGCTACCTTTACGATGTCGTCGGTCCACCTTGTAGGTGGACGTCCCACGCTGTTTTTCGGTACGCGGCCTCCATTCCAGAACCTTGCTGCCCCATCGGCCGTCAGTTCTGCGTACTATGTGCCCTGGCTGACAATAGTGACTGAATTTCTTGCGCTGCTTCTTCTCAGCACTGGCCCATTTATTGTCCCAAAGCAGTGGTAGGGTTAATACTGAGACGTGTAAATGTGCTTTTTAAAAGCCTATTTGCAAAAATAAATGAGTTTTACGAGTTTTTATGAGTATCAACTCGAGGCGGCTACTTTGTATTTTGTATGAAACTCCATACTGCAACGCACACTTATCCACACCGTACGTAAACTCCTCGCCCCGTGGTTGACAGCGCGGCGACGCGCGACGAAAGGGGATACAGTGTTGATCCACGGTAATACTATGGTCGATCCCTTTCCGGGTTGATAAGTGTGCTGTGACCTAATCCTGTAACTATCGATCGATAGATCTCACCATGGTCTCTCTAATATCAAATTGTGATTTTACTAAAAATATGAAATAGACGTGCTCAAAAAAGAGCCTGCTTTTGAGCACGTTTCACGTGATATTTTTATGTCAGTAAGGTATTTTTACAGAAATAAAATATGTAGCAGATTTGGTAAATCAAACATTTAATAAAAATAAACCATCTACAATTTCCACGTAATGTAAAGACGATCTTAGTTCCTCTGCCTCGAAGTGGACGGCATAGAGGCGCTGCGAGTCCGCTCGCGACGTTCCTCTGAAAACTGGTTCACTGCGAGGCAGTACTTCTCCGAATGGTACGTCCTAGATATCTGGGACAGTAACGGACTCCCATGAGGGGAATTCAGCCACAAACTCGCGCTCCCCGTTTGCCCAACCATAGCAATGAACGCAATCAACATCCTCGTGTTCAAAAGCCCTCTTTGAATCTGAGGCTGCTTCAGCAGAGTCTGGAGAATCAACCCATCGGGTAGACCGTTGATCAACTCGAAGATACTGGACCCACGCTCTCCTATTAGCCACGAGGCAGCAGCCGGGACGTTACACCCAGTCTGCCTTAACGCCTGATCCGCATCAGTCAAAGAGAATCCTAAATCTTTCAACGCGGTCACAGCGTCCGGGTTCGGAGGCTCTGCGATCTTCATTCGCCAAGCGCGGAACTTCTCCAAGAACCGCTGCAAATGCTCTGCTCGCTTGAACAACTCCTCGCCAGCACCTGTTTTCGTGGTGCTGGATCCCTCTTCGGACACGCTTTGAATGTCAGAAGGGTTGAAGCGAGCAGCTATCTCTTCTGGCGTTATAACCTGCACTAAATTCTGGCGAAGGCGTTGAGGTTCGTCTAAGGCTGCTGATAATTGAGCTAGCGTCATTTCGTAGTTCCTGCCTGCTGCGGCTAAGCGGGCTCCAGCTTCGATAAGCGAAATCAAGATCTTCCTCAGTTCGTACGATAACTCGTTGGTTGAGAGTAAGGACTGCAGGTTCGGCTGGCGGACCGTATTTTGAGGGGCGGGTAGCGACGCGGTGGCGGCAGCAATAGTGCCTTGTTGTGGTGCTCTTACCGCACCAAGATCCCAGAGAGTACCTGCTTCAGGTAACCGTCTTTCCACCAGCAGCAATTCTTCTTGCATCGTCACTTGTTCTTGGGCCAGCGTGAGGAAATCGTGTAACGTGCTCGTGTCAAACACTCGCACGATTTTGTAGCGGCTTGCACCAGTTTCCCCAGTGGGGTAGAAGTAGTCTATGGCCCTGTTCTTCACCTCCTCTATGAGGGTATCTTCGGAAAAATACGCCGTGAAGGTTTGTCCGTCAGGGCTGACCACTTTGACCAGCAACTCGTTAGGCCCATTTAAACCTGAGTCGGATACGAGCATTTTCGTCCTCTCCGTCGGAATGCACGAACTTTATGAAGAACAGGATCAAAAATAGGAATATACTAGTGAAAAAAAACGTTAGAAACCAAATAAGTTTGAACATAATCGAAAGCGGTCATATTGACGTGTGTCTTTTAGACGATGTCATATTTAAAAACTAATGTAACAGATCAATAGAAAAAGTTTCACATCGATAAACTTTTTTGTTTTAAACAGGTAGTTATAGGTCGCTCAATGAAAATTGAGGCAAACACGTACCTACTCACACTGACGATATACAGAAGTACAGAACACACACAAAACACTACATTAGAAATATAAATTATATTTTCCACAATATAATACACCTTACAAGGTGTCAGCGCGGCGAGCGTATACAGATACAAACAAATATTTGCTTGTGTTGATCGCCTCACCTATACGGCGACCTATACTAATATAATAGGTACCTGAAGAAGCAGGTGCCGACGTAGCCGTGCCCCAGCCCGTCTCCCGCCAGCAGCTCCAGGAACAGCCGGCAGGTGGCGGGGCACGCGTCCGCGAACAACTCCGCGCACAGCTCGCCGAGCACCGCGCAGTTGCGCACGCGCAGGCTCAAGTACTTAGACCGCGCTCAATGATTACTGGCGCTAAAGTCCGCTCGCCGAGCACGTAGAATTTCGATTTGACCCCAAGCTACCCATCCTTATCGCTCGCGCGTAATAATATTGCTTTCGCGACGGGCGGCCGCAGTGAGTGTAAGTAGCTTGAGGTCATTGGTCGAAATATGTGCTTGGCAACCGGACTTTATTTCGCGGATATTGACACTTGACAGTCTTTAAAGGATCAAAAACCACGCCCTCGATACAATCATGTTTCGGGATCAAGCGGCGCAGTACACAAGCAAGAAAACCAGTGAAGTATGTACCTATTTGGAAGTTTCTATCACATGTTTCTTTGCTCATGTGGCTCTATGTAAGCATTTTTGCTTACATTCTTACGACTCCTGAGTTTATGGTTAGCAACGTCGCTTTCACTATCACGCGGTGCAAAATCGGAAATTAGTACCTATTATGAGCCCCCGTTATTTTCTACACGAGAGACTTACAGCACTTCATTGAATAGCTGACGATAAATTACAAATAGGTCAATTTTGTGCTATACTGCACCGCGTGCGGGCTAATCTAACAGAAGCACACACAAAATATCAAACAGCTTGGTATAAAGTCCTGCTTTACCTGAAGAAGCAGGTGCCGACGTAGCCGTGCCCCAGCCCGTCTCCCGCCAGCAGCTGCAGGAACAGCCGGCAGGTGGCGGGGCACGCGTCCGCGAACAACTCCGCGCACAGCTCGCCGAGCACCGCGCAGTTGCGCACGCGCAGGCTCAAGTATACCCTGAAGATGTAGGTATAACTAGATATATAAAAACCTCAGTGTCTTAAAACGAAACTCTATAAATCAGTAAGAATAAGAATAAATTTATTATTACTCAATAAAACTTAGCCTAGATATACATTTGAATTCACTTACTTAAATTAACAGTGTGTGATACCAGTAAAGATACGGCTGTAAAAATCTGCAATCAGTGTGTGTTACCACTAGTGATGATATTATATGGCTCGGAAACGTGGAAACGTGGCCTATAGTGTCAAAAATTGAGCTCCATTTTTGCACAGCGTGCTAGGGAAAAGGCTCGGTGTTTCTTTACGAGATCGAATCAGAAATGAGGAGATCCGTAAACGAACTAAAGTCGCTGACATCTGAAGTCATAGCACATAGTAGGTACTTAAAACTGACGGCCGATGGGGCAGCAAGGTTCTGGAGCGGAGGCCACGGCGGCCACAAGATGCACTGACGACTTCATAAAGGTAGAAAGGCGCTGGATGCAGGACGCTGTCTGCGATGTGGAAATCATTGGAGGAGGCCTATGTTCAGCAGTGGACGTCCTGTGTAAAGTATAAAAACATTCATTATCTCGGGCGGCTCACGCCAGGCGGCGCTACGAATGCCCCGTCTTCTATCAACTCGCGCGGGTGCGGCGGGAACAACACGAACTTTGCTTGTGCTCGCCGGATGATCTCCCGCCGGGTTCCCGCCCATTCGCCACCGCTATTGGCGCCACTGGCAAGTGACAGTGACCTTACCTACAGTGGCGCAAACTGCAGGTAAGCGCTAAACCGATAGCTAAGGTTACTGTAATGGCTAGTAGCGAAGAGAGTAGCGCTACCTGTGATCGCTGAAGCGGTAGGAGAACGCGATTTGCAGTCACCAGAATGGTGCCATTAAGGGTCATGTATGTCGCCAGTAGAGCCTACTATAAAACAATCATACCTCGGGCGCCTCACGCCAGGCGGCGCCACGAACGCCTCATCTTCTATCAACTCGCGCGGATGCGGCGGGAACAATACGAACTTTGCTTATGCTCGCCGGATGATCTCCCGCCCATTCGCCGCCGCTCTGTTGGCGCCATGACAAGTGACAGTAACCTTACTCTACAGTAGCGCCAACTGGCACACTGGCTGTCATTTGCTAGTGGCGAAGACAGTGGTGTCAACTGTAAAGTATAAAAAGCCCTCAGTACCTCGGGCGCCTCACGCCAGGCGGCGCCCCGAACGCCTCGTCTTCTATCAACTCGCGCGGGTGCGGCGGGAACAACACGAACTTGGCTTGTGCGCGCCGGATGATCTCCCGCCGGGTTCCCGACCATTCGCGCGCCAGCGCTGCGGCTGTTTGTAACCGGGGTGGCTGTAAAGAAATAGGTAGTCTGTATATTCAAATTCGGTTCTTTTTTCATATTGTCACGAGCTTAACGCCACAGCCACAAACGCTAGAAGCGGCTACAAAATGTAGCTGACGTGCAACAGCCACTTGTCGCCAGGTTGCCACTTGTGGTCTTTTACACCCATGCTCACTGAGGTGTATGGTGCATGCAGGTTTACTGAGTTAAGAGAGATGGTGCGCGAGTGGCGTGTGACGGCGTTTTTTTGTGGCCGGAGCGGGCCACAAGAAGCAAGCAGCGGCGTTTGTGGTTGTAGCCATGGCCGTGGACCCTAATAGGTCCATGGGTCAAACTCTACACTACTACTGTTTAGCTAGGTTAAACTAAGGTCCAACAGTTCTCAAACACCCTCCTTTACATGGTCACCCTGTATAATTTTCATGCCTGTTAACTATAACGATTTGTTCGATACGCACAGTGTTGACGATTCGCTTGTAGAGCTCTCTGTTCTTCACCTCGAGGCGCTTGTAAAAGTCAGCGCGATTCCGGTAGTACTGCAGCGAGCCGGCTGGGCGCGTCTTCCAACGGCTGTCCACTCTACCCTGCAAGAAATATTTAAACTATTATTTATCATCATTATCATCAGTCATTCATTAGTCTCCACTGCAGGAGCACGACACGATCCTCTCTTATTTACCAGAAGCGAATGGAAGGAATTATTTATTTATTTACTATCATTTTGATCTATTTCAATCATATGACAGTTAAACTTTCCAATGACAGTTTAACTTTCCCCCGGGAGAAACTTGACCTTCACTGATTGGTTTTTTATTGACAGTTAAGCTGTAGATCCCGGCTACACTGGAGTTGCAGCGATGGGTACGAGAGGTGAATAGTCCCGTTAGAGGTAAGGCCATCTGCTTCAGACCCTGAGGTCTTAGGCTTCGATTCGATAAGAGTGAACTGAGCAGTGCCACCTACTCGCAAATCAGGATGCCCCCTGCAACGGGACCCCACTCAGCATTTGCCGTAGCCTACGGTGAAGAATGGCCACGACACTGGTTTTCAGTGTACCTCATGCCGAGTGACTTAAGCTCCTATGTCCCCTAGATGGGGCAGAACGTCCACAACAGTCCTCCATCGTGTTCGGTCTTGAGCTTCGCGCTTGATCTCGCTCCAGGACTTGCCGATTTTCTTCGCCTCGTCTGCTACAGTGCGCCGCCAAGTTTGCTTGGGGCGACCACGTTTGCGTTTTCCTTGGGGGTTCCAATCCAGAGCCTGCTAAGGGATGTGATCGGGGTCCCTTCGGAGAGTGTGGCCAATCCAGTTCCACTTGCGGCGCTTGATCTGCTGGTCGACTATTATAAAAATAAATATAATGCTGCATAAAATTTACTCACCCGTTCAAAATGTGCGCGTTTGATAGCAGTGAGCAGCACCATATTCTGGTTGTAGATGGCGAGCGTGCGGCGCGTCCATTCCGGCAGATGGCGCCCCAAGCGAGCCGGGTCGAAGCGCGGAGGGGCCGTGTCCACGAACGATGGCACGTGTGCGTACTGGGATAAGGGTCACTTTAGAGTGGCAGTATTTTTTGATTGGTACAAAAACTTTAATCGGTGACTGTACTCGCAAAATAAACCTCAAAAACAATGGGTCAAAAAAGCTGTAAAAAGCAATTTTTTTGGATTTGCCCTGTTTTTGGTGATTTTTTTGTAGGTTTAAATTAAAAATGTATGTATGAGTAATTTGATCAATAATTATACTGCCCCCAATAGTTGAAAGGGCGCACTACACCAAATCAAAACGGACATAAAAAAGTTTCAAATTATTTAATTGGGCAATTCTTAACTGTCCTTGAGTTTATAGTCCAGTCATTTCGTCCGAAAAAAAGGCAAATAAAAGAAAATGAATTTGCGCTTCTAATTTTTTAATATGTTAGAGGGGATACCTAGAAAAGCTTAACTTGAGATTGTCGACCAAGCTTTCCTAGGAGCTTTCGCCGCCATCTTGGAAAACGCTTAAAATTTGTTTTTCGGCAATAACTCGGCTATCCGATGAGATTCGAAAATTTTTGTAGGACACTTTTTGTAGCTTTCTTTGTGCTCTACAATAACGCCCGAACCATTTTTAGCGTATCATGCATCGTTATCGAGATATCGATCGATAAAGTCAAAAATTTTGGACACAATTTTTGTTTTTTTCTTTTTTTTTCTTTGGGTCTTAATAAATATGAAAAATTCCGAAATAATTAAATAATTAATTAAAAAGTAAAAAGTAAAATTTAATTACTTTTAATTACTTTTTAATTACTTTTTTTTAAGTAACGGCAAAGCATTTGTATTAGTTGGTTCTTGTTTTGATCCCTTGTGAGAAACTTCTCCTGGCTAACTTTTGGAGTAGTTGTCTCATCGAATGTGAACTCCGGCGATTGGTTTTTTCTCGAACGTCGTACTCTTTCCGAAGTTTTCGTTCCAGCGAGTGTCATATCAGTCGGATAACCGTCGAATATGATTGCAACCTTTCCTTCGAAGTTATGTTGTACGTATCTGACGTTAATTATTTAATTATTCCGAAATAATTTGTGTCCAAAATTTTTGACTTTATCGATCGATATCTCGATAACGATGCATGATACGCTAAAAATGGTTCGGGCGTTATTGTAGAGCACAAAGAAAGCTACAAAAAGTGTCTTACAAAAATTTTCGAGTCTCATCGGATAGCCGAGTTATTGCCGAAAAACAAATTTTACCCCTTTTTTCAACATGGCGGCGAAAGCTCCTAGGAAAGCTTGGTCGACAATCTCAAGTTAAGCTTTTCTAGGTATCCCCTACAACATATTAAAAAATTAGAAGCGCAAATTCATTTTCTTTTTTGAATGTACGTAATGACTGGACTATTAACTCATATCCGAAAAAAGTGTTAGATGCGTCTAGGCGCCTTTTCAAATATCGGGGGCAGAATAGGCATGTTAAGAGATTCTTAGACATTGGGTCTGGGAAGAAGTAAAATGATTATTTAGGATGTAAAATATAACTTACTTTGTATGGTCGTTTTGTCTTCTTCTTTTCAACGCACTCCTCCAGCTCTGGTGGAGGTGAAATATACTTATTCTTATAATATATAGCTTTTGGGGAGTGCGCTTTCTTTAATATGGCATCCGTTAGAGTCATTTTCACTATTTATTTTTGTAAATAAAGTAAAAAATGCACCAAAATTTGAGTCTCAATTGTTAGTGACTAGACGTTTGAATCAAAATCTATATGGTTTATATTTATTGTTCATTTATGAATATCTAGTGAACAAATTCGTAATGAAACAAGTATATCGTAAAAAACTTTTATTTAAATAAAATTGCACTACAAAAACATAAATAAGTGCCATACATATCACAATATTGTGCACAATATTCCGTAATACTGACAATACAAAAGCTTGGGCTTAAACTAAAACCATACTACCAGATCATTTTTTGTATTAAAAACTTATTAGCTTAAGCAATATTGGAAACGTGTCACACAATATTGGAAAGCAATATTGACGTTTTTATTTATTACTTTCTTCGCTGACCATATAAATAAGTAGATGCAGAAATACTGCATGTACGAATCCACACACCACATCTGACGATACATTTTTGTTACAATATCACTTTCATTACTACTATACAGGGTGAAATTTAAATCATTGGCATCTGTCCTTTTAATATAAAGACTCTACTCATGATACATAGCTGTTTCCCCTAATATCATTAGTAGAGTCTTATTTTAAAAGGATGCAGAAGATAAAATTTCACCCTGTATAAGTCCTCACTCACAGTGTTTACTTTGATGTACCGTCATCTGTAGTATCTGACCTACCTCTAGCATGAACAAATTTCGTCTTCGAATCGTTTGCGTATTCGATAAAATTCGATACTCAATCTTCGAATTAAACGATAACGTGACAATTTTGATTCTCAAAATAAGTTTCGTGCAACCATATCTCATACTAAGTTCACTTTATAACACGTTCACAAGGGCGCTATTGTAGTTTTCTTACTAAATCTTTTGATGGCGATTCGAGTACGCAAACGATTTGAACTCGAAAGTTTTTCGTGCTAGCCGTACTGTACTAGCTCTGGTAGTATGACCTCAGTCATATATCACTGGAATGTGACTAGCATAAGTGTTAACATAAATAATTATAATTTCAATACAAAATTTGCTAATCTGCTTTAAACACAAAATAAAAACAAAATATAAATTTAACACGATCGTTTCTTTATGAGCGTAATATTATAAAAATACTAAGGCAGTCCGCTGTCTTGAAAATAAAAAAAAGCAACGTGAACTAGCCAAGTGACACTTATTGATCGAATCGACAAAAAATTCGTTCACGGAGCGATGTAACTCTATACAAAAAAGGCCTTTCGACCATCTTTCGACATTAAAACTGTCACATTTTGCCACTTGTCTAGGGGGGCTGATTTGACTTGTCATGGGCATTAAGCTCTTATTTTTTCTTTTCTCAGCTGAATATCACAAAATTTGTTACCGAATATTGTCAATATAGCATAACACTATATTGCCAACATTTTTTTTTGAGCGGACGGCCCTTTGAATGTTAATATTTTAGTATTTTTTTTTTAATTTCCAACACCCAAGTATTTTTTATTTTATTTTAAAATAAATCAAAATTTTGTTATTTGGTTACTACTAGCAGACTCTACTGGCAAGGGCTACATAAAAATAACCTCTCGGTTGTGAGATCTAGGGTTACATTAGAGTAAATATTTGGTTAAATTATACTAATGTCTTGAATTTTCGAAATTACTGCAGCGGTGGTGAGGTCCCAGACTGCATACTTTGGAGCTGAAAAAGAAAGATAAAGTTACTTAGTATTGGAAACTACAGATTATACAGGGTGATGATAAAAGATATCGGTCGGTATTTGAGCTTAACATATCGACTAAGCTTACCAAGGAATTTTCACCTTGATAACAAAATGCTAAGGGTCACAGTTCATTGGCGCGTGGCGCCTGCGCAGCGTGGCAGTGTTCAAACACAAAATATAAGAGAAGGTAAACTCCATACTAAGCGTGCTCGAGCTACGCACACATAGACACCGCTCACGTACGCGTTATATAAACCCCGGTCCGTGAGCACGTAGAATTTTGTCCAATGACCCCTAGCTACCCATCTTTATCGCTCGCGCGTGATTATATTGCTGTCGCGACTGTGCGACAGGCACCCGCAGTAAGTGTGCGAGCGCGATAGCAACATAATTACGCGCGAGCGATAATGATGGGTAGCTTGGGGTCATTGGACAAAATTCTACGTGCTCACGGACCAGACTATAGACTGTCGGACGAATGCGAGCGCGACTGACGTTCGCTTGAGTCGCGCCGCTCACGCGTTTGTGAAATTAATTTGTTTGTGCCAAAATGAGTGAACAACAAAAAGACGTATTAGGCGTAGGTATGCAAAGCAAAGTACATACATGAGTTTACCTTCTGTTATATTTTGTGGTTCAAAATGTGGGTCATAATATCTACTCACCAAGGGATCTTCAACCTTACAATAAGACGCCAAGGCCCAAAGTTCACTGGCGCTGGCGCAGCGTAGCGTTGTTTGACAGCAGTCTATAGTTTTTTATTTATATCTACTCACCAAGGGATCTTCGACCTTATATCAAGACGCCAAGGCCCAAAGTTCACTGACGCTGGCGCAGCGTGGCAGTGTGTGGGCGTGGCACGGACGTGTGAGGACGCGCGGGGCGGTTGTTGACGTGCGCGTACGACAGGTAGCGGTCCGACAGGTCTGGGGGCTCCATCTGCGGGTAGATGAAGGGAAATGATTCTTTAGCAAGGCTCACTCAAGAGCAGGGTGAGCAGGATGTCGAGATTGCCGCGTGAGCCCGTTCGCCCAGTGTGGAAGCACCATTAGATAAAAAAAATCGTGTAAAATAACACGAAGACACTAAGACCGCTCTTTTCGAATCTAGAAGGGAGTTATTCTTCGGTTCTAGAGGGAGCTGTATAAGGCCGCAAAAATGGCGTTCCAGAATGGAATTACTTTATTGTTCGGATCTAGAAGTAAGTTACCTTATACTTAAGTTCTAGAAGGGAGTAACCTCTTTCATTTGAAGTGCTGAGCTTTGACTGAAGGCAGAGCTCGTTAAGCGTCCTTTGCTTCAGTTCTTAAGTTTCTTGTGCGCCTGCTTGGTCGCACAAGAAAGGTTGGCTTGGTTTAGAAGAGAGTTACCTCATTCTTCGGTTCTAGAAGTGAGGTACCTCTTTCAGCTGCAAGTCTTTTGGCAGTCCGAGATCGTTGAGCGTCTTTTGTTCCAGTTTCGCTACGTCGTAATTAGATCGGTACGTAAGTGAGCGTCCTTTGCTACGGTGTGTTCCATGGACAAACGCGTTAAGACACTCACGTATTTGACGGCGGCGATTGGTGAAAAATGCAGCTTTCTGGAAAGGATCTACCTCTTTCTTCCTAAGGTGTCTTATGGGTCGATAATGTCAAGTTAAGTGTCACTCCAAGCTGACGGCCGATGGGGCAGCAAGGTTCTGGAATGGAGGCCGCGTACCGGAAAACGCAGCGTGGGACGTCCACCGACAAGGTGGACCGACGACGTCGTAAAGGTAGCAGGGAAGCGCTAGACGTAGGCCGCTACCAATCAATCAACATGGAAACAGCATGGCATTGGGGGAGGCCTATGTTCAGCAGTGGACGTCCTGTGGCTGAAATGATGATGATGATGATGAAGTGTGACTCACGTATTTGACGGCGGCGGCGGCGGCGGCGGCGGCGGGCGGCGGCAGGTGCGGCGTGGTCATGTTGTTGCCGGTGTAGGCCACGCACTTCACCTGCCACTCGCCCAGCTGCTCGTTCCAGTGCACGTACTGGTCGATCAACGCCTGGGAACACGTGGAAAAGTTATCAGATAAACCATTGATTCCCTAAGGCCCAGAACACACGGTGAAACGCAACTGCAACGAAACTGCAACTTCTAGTTACTTTTGATTTGCATCTAAGTTTCTGCCATAGTGTCCGTTGAGAGACCACACATGACGCGACCAGTTTGAAACTTGCAGTTGCGTTTCACCGTGTGTTCTGGGCCTAAGTGGTCCAGGTGGTCGCCCAGGGGTTTACGGGAGACTCAAAGAGGGTTTACGTATTGGTGTGACAAAAAAAATGGGGGTTCACAATTCGGTAACGGGGATACATGAAAATTTATCTGGTTTCGATAGTGAAGAGCTAAAATGTTAGCTTGACTTCACTTATCAATGTAGGCAGATAATATTTTAAGAAGCTCAGCGACTTGATTATAATGTATGTTTGAACAAATACAACACTAGAAAATAAGTATATTATTTTTGCTCTGCTTTGGCCAAGTTTAGGAGTTGCACCGCGCGATGTCCAATCGTCCATGTATGTTTGATGTTGAATAAATATTTTTTCTTTCTTTCTTATGCTATTTACCTGATATTCCTTAGGGATGTACGAGTCCAATACAAGATCGGCGAGTTGTATCTCTCTCTTCAGCGCTCTAACGCTATCCAGTATGCCCTCCATCTCTCTCTATTGGTCAGCCAATTCAGCCTTAATGGCCGAGTTAATGTTCTTATGGTATTTACCTGATATTCCTTAGGGATGTACGAGTCCAATACAAGATCGGCGAGTTGTATCTCTCTCTTCAGTGCTCTAACGCTATCTAATATTCCCTTCATCTCTCTCTGCTGTTCTCTCTGTTGGTCAGCTAATTCAGCCTTAATGGCCGAGTTAATGTTCTTATGCTATTTACCTGATATTCCTTAGGGATGTACGAGTCCAATACAAGATCGGCGAGTTGTATCTCTCTCTTCAGCGCTCGGACGCTATCTAATATTCCCTCCATCTCTCTCTGCTGTTCTCTCTGTTGGTCAGCCAATTCTGCCTTGGCCGAGTTGAGCAGTTGCACGGCGCGTTTCAATTTTCGGGTTTTGGCAGCGTTTTCTTCTTGGAGGCTGGAGTATCGCTCTTCTAAGTCGAGCCTTTCAGCCTGTTAGATAGATAAAACACTTTACTTTAATAAAAAATAAAAAACACAATTTTGGCAAATTAGATACGAAAAGATAAAAAATTTAACTTCCTAATTCCTAGAAGACAAATACCTCTCCCTCGTCTGCAATAGAAGTCAGTTACCTCTTTCTTCTGCAATAGAAGTCAATTACCTCTTTTTTCTGCAAGTCCTTCTGCAGCCTGAGCTCGTTGAGGGTTCGTTGCTCGAGTTCATAAGCAGCTTGTTCTAGAAGACGGCGCTGTGCGTCCGCTTTGTCCAGAAGATTCTAGAAGGGAGTGACCTCTTTCTTGAAGTCAGTTACCTCTTTCTTCTGCAAGTCCTTCTGCAGTCGCAGCTCGTTGAGCGTCCGTTGCTCGAGTTCATAAGCAGCTTGTTCTAGAAGACGGCGCTGTGCGTCCGCCTTGTCCAGGAGATTCTCTCCGCCTACCAGCACCTTGGATTCAAGGCGCTGTAGCTTCTCTTTCAGCTCTTCCTGCTGTTTCCTGGAAGGATTAAGAGGTACAGGTGAGCAATTGGATATACAGGGAGGAAAACAAGTGATCTTTTTCTTATAGTACTATGTTATGATCGAAAGTGCGGGCATCTGCTAATACAGGTATATCTAAATTTAAAAGTAGACTGCACCTGTAAATGTATCATTAAAGAAACTAGCGGCCGCCCGCGACATTGTACGGGTGGACCCCATTTTACACCCTTAGGGGTTGAATTTTGCAAAATCCCATCTTAGTGAGCACCTACGTCCTAAAAGGAACCCCCCTGCCAAATTTGAGACTCCTAGCACTTGTAGTTTCTGAGATTTTATGATATGTAAGTGAGTGATTCAGTGATCTTTCGCTTTTATAGATATAGATAAAGATATTTTGATTTGACCTCACTCAATTATTCCTAAACTATACAAGATATCGGAAAACTATTTACTGATCCTGAAAGTGCTTCACGAGCTCTATGAAAGGGTATCTTTAATACGTTATAATAAGCTGGATCTATACGAAAATTTAATGTTTTTGAGTAAATAAGGTTCACTATTGTTAATGTGTCGACTACACGTACTTAGTTCTCTGGAGCTCTGCTTTCTTTTCTTCCAGAACTTTCCTGGCTTGGTGTGCCTTCTCTCGGTTCAGTTTTTCCTGAAAACAAATAAATGACTAAAATTAATGTATTACTACATGATTCGTTTACGGATCTCCTCATTTCTGATTCGATCTCGTAAAGAAACACCGAGCATAGCCCTTTTCCATAGCACTCTGTGCAACTTTGAGCTTATAATTTATAAGGCCTATAGAGAGAAGCCACGTTTATCATCACGTATATCAATCACTGTTGAGTGGAAGCCACCGGTGGACTGATGACGTGGCAGGATGGCACTGAATGCAGGCCACTACGCCACTACCAACCGGTCGTTATGGAAATTAATGTTGGAGGCTTTTGTCCAGCAGTGGACGTCATTTGGCTGAAACGAACGAACCCTAAGATGGGGACATTGAAATTGTGGTATTCCAAGGATCGGCCACAATAAGGAAGCTAAGATGTTAGTGCTTCCTTCCGAGCGGGCGTTGTGCTCGGGGACAAAGGTCCAATTTACACCATCTTGGTTTTCCTATATATGCTGGGCAGGGTAAAAAACTCCGATACCGCGATGCAGGATTGTACGCGCGGCGGTGTATGCCTTAATGAAGCCGTAACAGCGCCATCTGTTGGTACACTAGTAAACTAGTTTGTAGTGGCGCCACCACAAAATGACGGCTCACCTTCTCTTCTCTCCTCATCTTGCGGCGCATTTTCTTTTCCTCAGGGTCGAGGGAATCCATCTCGGGCTCCGTGAGCGTGTCGTCGGATAGTTCTTCTTCTGTTATTTCTTCTTCTTCTTCTTCCTCCACGTCTAAGAAGAAAGAGAGGAAGAATATTGTACAGTCATCGTCAAATACACTTGCGAGCAAAAGTATGGAATCACTTACATTAAGTTGTTTCCACGCGATCTTGTGTACTAACCAATTTGTTAGTAACAAAAAAAGTAGCACCATTTTAAAGATTAAACTTTTAACTTTAAATTGATACCAAATTCATTTAAATCACACCAGTATTTAAAAAGATATCCCGGCTGATGTGAAGAAGTAAGGAAAAAGACATGTATCAACTGTTTGATACGTCGCGAGTTGCGGCCTATTTACCCCCCATAAAAGCAAGTGTTTTCGGATTTTTGCTTTCACACGTTGATCCATACACATCTCCGCTTCTTTTGACACTTTACCTGGGATTCTACACCTTCAGAAGCAGCACAAATCGTTGCACTATTGCAAGAAGGGCTCAGCCAGCGGGCTGTCGCACGTCAGCTCCACATAAGCCAGTCCTGGGTTTCGAAAGTTTGAAGACGCTTTCGGGATACCGGTGGCTTTATCCTGAGACCAAGTTCTGAACATTGCCGGTGCACATCGCAGAGGGAAAACCGTTTTTTCATGTCAACTTCTCTACGAAATCGTCATTTGACTGGTATCGACGTCCAGCAAGAGCTCAGAAATGTTCGTAGGATAGCTGTTAGCGAGTGGACAGTTCGTCTAAGATATGAGCAATAAAATTTGACTCCAAAAAGGCCTGCCACAGGCTGGAAACTGACGGCAGGTCACCGACAAGCACGCTTTCAATTAGGTCGCACTCGGAAAGCGAGTAATGGAGGCGAGTTTTGTTCTCCGATGAATGCAGACTGTTTTTGCAGTGCAGCAGTCGAAGAGGTCGGGTCTATAGACGGCCTGGGGAGCGATTTGTGCAGTGCTGGTTCGCTAAAACATTGGCTTATGGGGGTGGCTTGCTCGATTTCGGTGTAGGAGCAAATTGAAAGCGTGCTTATCAGTGACCTGCCGTCAGTTTTAAGCCTGTGGCAGGCCTTTTTGGAGTCAAATTATATTGTTTATATCTTAGACAAACTGTCCACTTGCTAACAGCTATCCTACGAACATTTCTGAGCTCTTGCTGGACGTCGATACCAGTCAAATGACGATTTCGTAGAGAAGTTGACATGAAAAAACGGTTTTCCCTCTGCGATGTGCACCGGCAATGTTCAGAACTTGGTCTCAGGATAAAGCCACCGGTATCCCGAAAGCGTCTTCAAACTTTCGAAACCCAGGACTGGCTTATGTGGAGCTGACGTGCGACAGCCCGCTGGCTGAGCCCTTCTTGCAATAGTGCAACGATTTGTGCTGCTTCTGAAGGTGTAGAATCCCAGGTAAAGTGTCAAAAGAATCGAAAATGTGTATGGATCAACGTGTGAAAGCAAAAATCCGAAAACACTTGCTTTTATGGGGGGTAAATAGGCCGCAACTCGCGACGTATCAAACAGTTGTACATGTCTTTTTCGTTACTTCTTCACATCAGCCGGGATATCTTTTTAAATACTGGTGTGATTTAAATGAATTTGGTATCAATTTAAAGTTAAAAGTTTAATCTTTAAAATGGTGCTACTTTTTTTGTAACTAACAAATTCGTTAGTACACAAGATCGCGTGGAAACAACTTCATGTAAGTGATTCCATACTTTTGCTCGCGAGTGTAGTTATGACACCTAAAGTAGCCAAAAATCTCGCAACACGTCTTTGTTACAATTGGAATAAGTGTTATCAACTTTTTGGCTACTTTGGGTGTCACGAACTATACTCAGCATCAAATAAATCGCACCTTCCGCGACGCGAACTTTAAAGATTTTCTTCTGACACACTCATGGTGCCCTAAAAATATTGGTGTTATTTGAAAGCCCAATAAATAAACTTAAAGAAAAACACATAATTTTTTTTATAAACAATTAACAGGTACCATAAATGTGACTTGAAAAAAGGCCTCACTTTGGGGCTCACCTCTGGGATCAATTTTTGTGGTAATAAAACCAAATAATGATCTTACGTGTCCTTTTTAACAGATGGATAGCGATTAATCCCAATTTAACAGATTTATAGCCATAAAAGTTGGCTCAAGCGTAATTACGTATTTTTTTAAGAAGTGACTGGGTCTTTCTAAAACACATTTTTGGGGTAAACTAAAAACCTTTCCTTTAATGAAATGAAGTTTAGAACTAGGCTTTCAAATGGAACCAATGTTGGTGGGAAGTGGGGATGCATACGTTTGAGAAGTGCTTGTTGCGGGAGGTGCGATTTATTTGATGCCTAGTGTATTTGACGCTAACTGAACGAAATGAAATCCTTAATTATAATTTTATGTTTTCTTTAATTAATAAAATTATTTGTTATACTTTATTAAGTACTTACCATTTGCACTCTCTTCAAGTTGCTTCTTGAGCTGATCGATTTCTTGCTGGAATCTGTTGAAAAGTAAATAATATAGTTTTTAAGCAAAACATTTTACAAGATAAATGATGTACAAAAAGAAAAATATAAATTGTATGAGCATGTGTGCGTTTTCCGGTACGCGGCCTCCATTCCAGAACTTTTCTGCCCCATCGGCCGTCAGTGTCGGCAGCGTGGGACGTCCACCTACAAGGTGGACCGACGACATCGTAAAGGTAGCAGGGAAGCGCTGGGCGCAGGCCGCTACCAATCGATCAACATGGAAAGCATTGGGGGAGGCCTATGTTCAGCAGTGGACGTCCTATGGCTGAAATGATGATGATGATGATGATGATGATGATGATGAGCATGTGTGAGTGTGGACAGTTATAGATCTAGTGCTAACTCAGTCCGTGCCTGAGATAAGGGAGCGGCACGGGAGAAGTGACATTGACAATATTGACATAATCATATTTGAAGTGTTGCTGACGTTTGATGTCTCAAAAACACCCTCCCATGCCGCTCCCATAGATTCCGTGGAGGGTAGTTGAACGGGAAGCATGGTCGATCTGTTTTAATGGTTTCAATTTATTATTTAATGGACTTTAGTGTACAAATTTGGTGTTATTTTGTGTTCTAAAGTGCAGTGAAGTGATAAATTATAAAAAACATTGAAATACTTCGAATTTGAGCGCGCATCGAGTGTCGAGTGGGTTGTCGTATGAACAACCCGCTTTGGACCCGGTGGCGTCTCGAAACCTGCTTACGGGCATACTTAACTCCACGGAATCCATGAAAAATCAATAGAACTGAAACACCCACGTTCTATTGATAACTATGTCAATATTTTTCACTCGACATTGGCAGAAATAAACCTCCCAGAGAGGTTTGGTTGCCACAAATAAAATAAAAAAATGCCGCTCCCATACCTCAGGACTGACTGAGTTGAGTTAAGCTGTAGACTAGAGATGGGTTATACTAGGTAAATTTGATACTAGGTGCACCTATTCCAAGTATTTATTAATACTTGATCCAAATACCTGTTCCACCTAGTACGTAGTAATTTACCATACTTGACGCGACTAGTGCGGACTAATCCACGTATTATGACTTTAAAATACAATTTTCTTTGAAAAGATACAACCGTAGTATTAATAATGCAATTTGAAATTGAATAATAATGTTTTTGCTGGCTGTTGATTTATTGATATCCTCCCTTCATACTTCAACAGGCTATTCCTATCTCACACCTGCCTGCGCTCAAATTTGTTTGTCAGACAGAGACGGAGTGAATCTCTACGTTCGCACATAAGCTTAGCGAGAAATACGCGGTGTGCGTAATACACGACTACGGATTATGCAATAATAACCTCTATTACTTTGATGGTAGGGTCGGAAATCGTGTAATTTAAAAAATACTAGGTGGACGACTACGGATTATGCAATAATAACCTCTATTACTTTGATGGTAGGGTCGGAAATCGTGTAATTTAAAAAATACTAGGTGGATCAAGTATTTTAAAAATTGGAATAGGTGCCACTTAGTACTGTAAAATACCTAGTGTGTGGATCTGTTCTAGTAAATACGTCTCATCTCTACTGTAGACCTATACTTACCTGGTGAGCAGTGCATCTCCCGGCTCGCTGTTAACATGCGTCTTGTTCTCAATATTCTTCGCTCGGTTCGCGTATCTTAATGTACTGATGGTCTCCACGTAGTTGCATTCCGCTGGGCCGATGGTGGCTATCTGTTGATATAATAACGATAATCAACCCTATGGTGCAAGAATAAGGTATGTTCCGGCTTAGCATGACAGTCTTGGAGTTGCTGTTGCCCTCAGAAAACAAGACTAGGGATAACGCTAAAATCAACCCTAATTGTGCAAGAATAGGGCATGTTCCAGCTTATCATTACAGTCTTGGAGTTGCTGTTGCCCTCAGCAATCAAAACTAGGGAGTCTTGCTACAGTCGGATCAACTGAAATTGAACTTTAATCTATAAAAACTTAGGTGCGTTTCAGCTTACTAAAACTATCTCCAAGTGAGTCTTGAAGCAGTCGAGTTAGCTTCAAGTGCTTTTAGCGATAATGGGCAACTGAAAACGAGCCTTAAGATATACATAATTAAGGTATGTTTTAGCTTATCATGACAGTCTCGGAGTTGCGTCAAGAGCAAGACAAAGGAGTTTTGCAGCGGTCGGATCAGCTTCGAGTTCCTAGACGGAATGTTAGCCAACTGAAAGTGTACCTTAATCTAAATATAATTAAGGTACACTTCAGCTTAACACAACAATCTTGGAGTGGAATGGCGTCTTGCAGCAGTCGGGTCAGCTTCGAGTGTTTATAGAAGATGTTGGTCAACTAAAAAGAAGCCTTAATTAATACAAAATTAAGGTATGTTTCAGCCTACTTGGAGTGGAACAGTCTGGGATGGGAATGGCGTCTTGCAGTAGTCAGGTCAGCTTCGAGTGGTTATAGAAGATAATGGAAGACAATGGCCTTAAATGTATTAGCTATAAGGTATGTTTCAGCTTACCATAACAGTCTTGGAGTTGCCTCCAAGCGAGTCTTGCAGCAGTCGAGTCAGCTTCGAGTTCCTGTACGGGATGTGTGTGGATTTTCCGTCCACTAGAGCGGAGATGACGTTGCCTAGCACTGACAGCGACTGGTTGATTTTGGTGGCTTCTTTCAGGCGAGTGCCGGTGGCTTGCGTCTTGCTTTGGCGCTCGGAGCCCTGGAAAAAACATAAAAAAATTATATCTTTTCCGTGTATGCACGGTTAATTTCACTAGCTATTACCTAATTATAGCTGTGCCTGCGACTTCGTACGCGTGAAAATAGTTTGAATGATATTTCCCGTTTCTGCAACATTTTTCTTTACTGCTCCGCCCCTATTGGCTGTAGATGTTATATAGCCTGAAGCCTTCCTCGATAAATGGGCTATCCAACACAAAACGAATATTTCATATCGGACCAGTAGTTCCTGAGATTAGCGCCTTCAAACAAACTAACTCTTCAGCTTTATAATATTGGTATACCTACTCGTAGAAGTATAGGACCGTATAACAAAAAAAATAAGACCCTTATTCCTTAACAGCTCCAATGCCAAGACAATTTGACACGTATCCTACTTACTGTCACGATAAAATAACCCAGTTCGGTGGTAACGCTAACTGAATCTTACCGCCAAGTCAACAAGGTGCAGTTTCCCCATCTTGACGTGGACTTTCCCGTCGTTTCCCTTCTTGCTGGACTCCACGGTGATGGAGAATATAGCGTGCGATCTTGAGCTCTCAATGTTCAAGCTACTAGCGATTATGAGTCGTATAACCCAATAAATAGGACGCTTATTCATTAACAGCCGGTATACTGTAGTGTGTACGCATCCTTTCCCCATATTAGGCATAAACCACTAGTATATAAGCTTAGGATAATCTTCATTCTTACGAATAAACCTACAGTGCGCACATCTAACTGTTTTATTGTGTCTCCCGAACGTCACACATTACAATACCAAAACCATTAATGCACGCAGGCACGGGTGACTCTTGTCACCGTATGCGTCTCTTTCTCTCTCTTTATAAGTGCAAGAGACAGATATACTGTCACCTGAACCACCACAAGAATAAAATAACTTAGATCCGAGGTAATGAAAGGTGAATCTTACCGCCAAATCAACAAGGTGCAGTTTCCCCATCTTGACGTGGACTTTCCCGTCGTTTCCCTTCTTGCTGGACTCCACGGTGATGGAGAATATGGCGTGCGATCTTGAGCTCTCAGTGTTCATGGCCGTGGCTCCAATATGGCGGTTCTTGTTTCCAACCGCCATGATCTTTTCTAGCTCGTCTGCGTTGTGGACTACGTAACCTGGAATCAAATGAAATCAAATAAATCAAATGGAAATGGGAGAAGTTATGTAGATACAACCCTGTCAAGCTAACTGCGCACCTCAACGCCGTACCAGAGCGTCGATATGACGTCACGGTCACCAAGTACGCAGTTAACTCGACCGGAGTCGACCGAATGAAATGAATGAAATACCTTCCATTCTTGCCTCTTGGATATTTTAAGCATAGATATAAGCCAGGTCAAAATAGACCTCCATTAAACAATTAGGTATTTCTAAAAAAAACTTAAACAGACATACAAAAGTCAAGTTTTTGTAATACGAGTAAGTCCCATAAATGCTAACTATGTTAACTTCGCCTGGCTACCACCATCTTACCTAAGTCTGTCGAGGTAATATATCCAGTTCCTCTGTAGTTGAAGATTCCGGCTAAAGCTCGTTTCCACCTTCGGCCTGATCATCGGAAACTGATGACTGACAGGTGAGGTCCAGGCCAAGAGCTTCCTCGTTGAAGATAAAAAATAACTCTAAGCACTTACCAGTGAGGTCCTTAACGAAGACACCGATGTCAGGCCGCTCCTTGACCTCGAGGCTCTGGTGCGGGTTGTTGCCGAGGAGATCGCGGACTTCCTCGTTGTAGATCTCCAGGTACGTCACGCACACCAGGAATCTACAAGGAGCAAACAAGTGTGGAGTGTAAAAAACTGGTTTAATGGTTGCTTCTGTCTTCTCTTAATGTTCCTATCAATCACCGGTTCTAAAATTCGTCCCCTTGTCTCCAAAATCTACTACTTATTAGGTTAGAGGAAGAACATGGTAGGAGTTTGAACCTTAACTTCGAACTCTTCGATTAATTTCGTCGCGGATCCTGTAGTGTATAGACATTTATAGTTGTGAATAATTATGCTATGACCTTAACTCTCGAGAAGCACGCGCGCGGGGTCGCGGGGCGGGAGGGAGCTGTCAGGCAGACCTACCGACCGCCGTAAGGGAAGACGCGTTGTTGCTTGCTGCGAGCCTATATCTGTGTTATCAGTGTTGCTTGGTGTTATTGGTTCGACTTACCAATTCAACATAACATACAATAGTGTACACTACAGATCCAATGACAGTTTAACTTTCCCCAGGGACAAATCTGACCTTCACTGGTTGGGTTTTTATTGGCGGTCAAGCTGAAGATCTTGGCTACACAGTTGTTGTAATAGTCCCGTACTTACTTATTAGGTTGCAATCCCCCTGTCTAAAAACACCGAATGAGCCCTTTCCTCACATATTGTCCAGTGAAGCTGCAGATGAGGTCTAAAGCCACTATCATTTGTTTTTTTGGAAAAAGTGGCTTCTCGTTGAGTTCTCTTTGTCCGGTGGCTGTGGAATAGGCTAGGAATTCTTTCTAGAACATTTCACTTACTTCTCGTCATCATTCGCGCGCGCGATATGGCTGAATATAATAATATGCGCGAAGGAGTTGGGTATGATGCGACAAACATCATGGATGATTCTCGTTGAAGAAAAGAACTCTTTTTTCCAAGTAAAACTACGGAATATTAGTTCTTCCTTTAATACACATAAGACTTACTTCTCATCATCATTCGCGCGCGCGATATGGCTGAATATATGCGCGAAGGAGTTTGGTATGATCCCGCGCAGTTCTGGTGCGCTGTTGGATCCAGCCATGGTGTAAGTTTTGCCGGTGCCAGTCTGCCCGTACGCGAATATGGTGCCATTGTAGCCCTTCAACACCTCTTCTACTATTGGATTGGCCGTCTGCACGTAGATGTCCATCTGGAATTAGACGTAAGAGTGACCTTAGATGGGCATGTTAATTTAAATACAAATGCATTAATATCATGAGTGGTGTCAAATTTTAATAAAGGTCAAGCATACTACCAGAAATGGGACAAGTAGAGATCTTATGTGAAACCATATTACCTAAATAGAATAGAAAATCAACAAACCCAACTGCAACGCAGTTTTTGTCTTGACGGCCATTTTGTACAGCACTTCGTGCTGTAATTTTGTTATATTAATTCAGCCTTTAATCATAATATTAGAAACCACTTCTAACTAACCCTGAAAATCGAGTAAAGTTTTCAATTTCGACACGCGTGCGTGTATCCCGCGTAATAGGAAAAACATGATTGTATGAAATAATGAAATGCGGACAGACCGCATGCGGATAATCCGCACGCGTGCCGAAATCAGGATCAGAAGAATATGTGCACTTCGCAGTAATGTGACGTGGTTACTCTGAATTGATGAACAAATTATGCGCTTGGTGCGTTTTAATAGCTCATAAAAAGTATGTCAATTGACTGCGGTGTCAGTAGTCAATTGATTGGTTGTGTCAGATACATACTATTGTTTACTAGGAGTGTAGTCGTTATTCCTTTACAATTATGTCTATTTTCGTAAACCCTGAAAGTATACTCGTCGACCCGAGGTATTTTTAAAAGTTGGCAAACTGGATATATTTATAGCTCTGTGTTTGGGGAATAATTTAGACTTTACGTAACATTTCCTTTACGTTCGCGCTAGTGTTGATTAATTGCGTACGTCGGGAGTAAGATGTAGGTCACGATGTAGGTACTGGTCTACTGTGAACAGAAGCATGCATCAGTATTGTTTCGTGGTAGGCAAATAGGGAAGGTATTGAAAAAATCTGGCGCAGTCGGGTAAAGAGCCTGGGGTCTAACAGACTACGCAATTCAAATTATAATAATGTAAACGCCCCTACAAATTAGGGCGTGGTCTTATGTATTTGGGCACTGGACTTTATTTTGGTGTAGGTTCTTCTACTTTAAAAACCCAAAGGGAGGTAACAGACGAATGAAGTCTGTTATAAACAGACTTTTGTTTGGATTATTTTGACCTAGCTCAACACAGACACAGCTGCACAGGGGCGTGGCAGCCTCATAAAATAAGTTTTCTACTCTGACCGAAATTATGATGATGATGATAATGTTACAGGACAGCTTTTGTTTTTACCGATCGGTGTTAAATTTTAACAACATTTGCCGACCGTTGTAACAAAGGCTTTGTTCGGCCATATTGTACGAGGGCTGCACTAAAAGTATCGGGAATGGAATATTTCCACTGTTCCAGTCATATTAAAATCTATTTAATTGCAAACTCCAGGGTTTTAAAAATCGTATACCATTTATTTATTTAAAAAAAGATTCTCGGTCGTATCACAAGGTCTTGTCAAACTTGTTTAGTCGTTGAGAAAATGGAATTGACACGAGAAAATTCAAGAGCGATGACTTATTATGACTTTTGAAGTGGTTTAACACAAAAACAGTGTGTTGACCGGATGATTTCTGCATTTGGTAATGAAGCCCCATCCAAATTTTTTTCTTTGAAATAAACTTGAAATAAATATAAGTAGAACTAATAATAATTGTGAAATAATCATGAAAATATCTCTACAAATAAATACGTTACAGGGCCCTAAAGTTGCGCATAACTATTCACGCCATTTTGATCGGTGTATTCACACAGTCATTCGGAGTACAAACAGTAAATCACCCCTGATCCAGCCAGTTCATTTTTTTTAAATCTAGCAGTTTTTAATTTTTCAGCTAGGGTCACTCAAGATTCTTTCTTAGTAAAATTTTGTAACCTTTTTTTTAAATAACCCAGACCTGGCCATATACAAAAAGAACGGCACCGCCTATGTTTCAGTTCCACGCGAAAATATGTAGGTAGTTAATTTAAATAATTAATTTCTCAGACATTTCTTTTCTCACAGACGATTTATTTTATTTCCAAGACATTTTCCTATGTAGGTATAACAACATTCTTCATACACATACCTACCTAAAATGTATATTCGTACTTCATGTTCATTAATATTAGTCATAAAAGTAAAAAATTAAACAGTATCAAGATCGTTTATTCCAATTTCCCCAGTATTGCTCTCAACAAAGTTTATTTTCCCTATTTGCCATGAGATTCTGGTACACCTATAACCAAAAATTCCTGAAAGATAGTCTATGGTTTATTTGGAAAGACAAAGGCAGTATTTCCACCTAGCTGGAGGGCGTTCTACATTAAGTACAATATTGTCTGTGCCTGAAAAATAGTCTATGGTTTATTTGGAAAGAAAGGAAAAACACAGAAGGCTGTGATCCACCTATTTGGAGGGCGTTCTATAATATTGTTTGTACCTGAAAAATAGTCTATGGTTTATTTGGAAAGAAAGGATAAACACAGAAGGCTGTAATCCACTTATTTGGAGGGCGTCCTATCCTACAATGTCCAATGTCCCCTAGATAGGGCACAGGGCATCTACAACAGTCCTGCATCGCATTCGGTCTTGAGCTTCGCGTTTGATCTCGCTCCAAGTCTTAGCGATTTTCTGCGCCTCGGTTAGTATGGTTTATTTGGAAGACAAAGGAACAGTAGTAGATACACCAGTTTGTATTTCCTGGGTGAAATGGTTCCGAGGTGAAATGAGGACACTAAAAATTCCACATTCTTCACCCAGGTGAACAAAGTGGATTCAATCCACCTTGTTGGCGAAAGGGGCGCGCAATTCTCATCACGCGTTGGTTCCTGCTGAAAACCAGCTTCTCGACATGACGTTTGTGTCATGTTGCGATTTTTGCTGAGACTGCGCCTCTTCAGCATATTTTTGAGATAATTATGTTTGCTTTTATTTTGTCCGTCACATTGTTATGCTGAATAAAATGTTCTTATTGTTATTCCTTTCCATCAAGCTAGAGGGCGTTCTAGACCTACAAATATTATCTCTACCTGAAAAATAGTCTATGGTTTATTTGAAAAGACAAAGAAACAGTCAGTAGTTATACACAAGGGTGTGTTGAATAATTCGTGCGCCACAGCCCCTGGGCCGCGCGCAGAGTATCTAGGTCAACGGGGCGCGGGTGCACTATTGATCGGTGTGCATCGGGCGTTGCCGCGCGGTGGCGCCCTCTGTGTAGGACGGAACTACAGTTGTAGGACTTGGAGGTGCAGGTGTGATGTTCTTTGTCCTTTTAAAAGATTAAAAGATCATTTATTCACCGAAACAAGGTAATACAACAAGGTAAATGTTATAATAGTTACAGCTCAGCTCAGCAGCAATGCTAGTGTGTGATTATTTCATTTTTTTTTATAGATCCATGCATAGTTAAAAAAATTAAGTACTTTCCAACTACAAACAAAGAACAGATAAATTATTTGAATTACAATAATATCAGCAAATAAACGTCAGTTGTTCGAATACAGTCAAGATTCATTAAAATTAATGTCACATTCATATTAGTACCAACATTGAGTTATAATGTAGTACGTAGTAATATTACTTCAATGCCACAGAATAGGTACTTATGACAAACACTGGAATTTATAAGTCAGATAATCTTTTACAGGGTAAAAACATTTGTCAACTAATAAATTAAATAATTTTCTATTAAATAATGTTTCATTTAGCTCTCTCAGTTGAGCTGGTTTACTTTAAAGTTATATTTTTTTGATAGATGATCCGGCGAATGTACCACTAATAAATAGCAAGGATAACGCGATGGTGCCTTCTGTGGCGGTGTAAAGAACTGTGGTTGTAGGTGGAGGTGTTCTTTGTCCTCTAAAAAGATTTATTTAAGCCCAGGCGTAGATCACCGACTTTTAGTTGGCCGATAGTTGGGTCGGACTGTTAATCAGTATGGAGATGTATGAAAGTGCGCACATTACAGCGATTTGTTATCGGCCGATTCTTCATACAAATTAGAATCGGGCCCAACTATGGGCCGACTAAAAATCGGTGGCCTGCGCCTAGTCTTAGTTGGCCGATAGTTGGGTCCGATTTTAATTTGTATGAAGAATCGGCTGATATCAAATCGGTGTAATGTACCCACTTTCATACATGCCCATAACTGATTAACATTGAATTGATACATTTCTGAAAACTTAAAAAATTGTGATCATTTTGAAAAAAAAAAGCACTTGGCCAAAAGCCTTTTTTTTTAATTTTCAGGGGACAGGACGTACTTAATTTATTGCTAATGATCTCTTCTCTAATAATACCCATTTCAAGGAATAGGATGAGTATCCCTGACACCCTGTATACCTAAGGGATAAGGGAGTAGAAAGAAAGACAGAAAGAATAATTTATTTGGCACATAAAAAAAGAGAAACAATAAATTAGCACAATAAAAAAATAACAATAATACGTATTAGATCTATGAAGGAAGTAGGGATGTTCTGTCGACGGTATTAGTAAAGCATTTGCATTTTAGGATTCCCAATTCCATTTATATTCCCGGGAAACAGGTTAGAGTTGCAACATCTTAATATTGCAGCTCGTCCTAGTTTCGCTTGGCGCGGAAATGGGGCGAGGCCAGATGAATATTCTACCCGGGTATTATGTAGCACTAGCTGTGCCTCGCGGTGTTAACCGCGGTAACGTAGCCTATGTGTTGAACCAGGGTGTCAGCTAACTCCATACCAATTTTTTTTTAAGATTGCTCCAGCCGTTTAGACGTGAAGAAGTAATAAACATACACTCACAAACTTTCGCCTTTATAATATTAGTGTGATAACTTTAAGCCCCGGCTTTGTCTGCTTAAAATAGAACGGGAAAATGGAAAAAATATCCAATAACTTTTCCAATTTGTGAAAGTGTCAGACTAATAAATAGTACAATTTTAAAAAGATAGGAATATTGCTAAATTCCCGGGAAATTCTACTACTTAATAGGTATCTGTTTTTCACTTTTCCCCAACCTGTAGCATAATTCATAGAGTAGTGTTGTAAAAATGTTGAGCTATTTAGTCTTAAATTCG